TAGGTTAACAAGTCTTCCACCAATCCTAATGCCATGTTCTTCTTCATCTAGTCCAGCTTCTCGAATCATTTGCTCAGCATACAGAATAAGTAAATACGGTGAAAGGATACCTTGATGTACAACTTTCCTGATTTTAAACCACACAATATCCCCTTGTTCTGTTCCAAGGACTGCCTCTTTGTCTATGCACAGGTTCCGCGCGAGCACAATTAAGTGTTCTGGAATTTCCATTCTTCCCAATGTTATCCATAATTTGTTATGATCCACACAGTCGAATGCCTTTGCATAGTCAATAAAACACAGGTAAACATCTTTATGTTATTCTCTGCTTTGAACCAAATTCCATCTGACATCAGCAATGATGTCCCTTGTTCCACATCCTCTTCTAACCCGGCTTGAATTTCCAGCAGTTCCCTGTTGATGTACTGTTGCAACTGTTTTTGAATTACTGTCAACATAATTTTACTTGCATTTGATATTAATAATATTGTTTGATAATTTCCACATTATGTTGGATCACTTGTCTTTGGAATGGGCACAAATATGGATCTCTTTCAGTCACTTGGCCAGGTAGCTGTCTTCCAAATTTGTTGGCATGGACAAGTGAGCACTTTCAGCACTGCATTCATTTGTTGAAACATTTCAATTGGTATTATGTCAATTCCTGGAGCTTTGTTTCTTGCCAGTACCTTTAGTGCAGCTTAGACTTCTTCCTTCAGTATCATCGGTTCTTGATCATACGCTACCTCATGAAATGGCTGAATGTCGACCAGTTCTATTTTGGTACAGTGACTCTGTGTATTCCTTCCATCTGCTTTTGATGCTTACTGTATCATTCAATATTTTGCCCGTAGAATCTTTCAATATGGCAACTCGAGAACTTCACTTTTTTCTTCAGTTCTTTCAGCTTGAGAAATGCTTAGTATGTTCTTCCCTTTTGGTTTTCTAGCTCCAGGTCTTTGCACATTCCATTATAATACTTCGTATTCTCTAGCCACTCTTTGAAACCTTATGTTCAGCTCTTTTCCTTTATCATTTCTTCCATTCGCTTTAGCTACTCTATGTTCAAGAGCAAGGTTCGGAATCTCTTCTGACATCGATTTTGGTCTTTTGATTCGTTTCTTTTTTTAATGACCTTTTGCTTTCTTCATGTATGATGCCCTTAATGCCATCCCACAACTCATCTAGTTTTCATTCATTAGTGTTCACTGCTTCATGGTCTCTAAATTCAGGTGTGATATACTCAAGGTCATACTTTGGCTCTCGTAGACTTGTTTTAATTTTATTCCGCTTCAGCTTGAGCTTGCATATGAGCAATTGACGGTCTGCTCTGCAGTTAGCCCCTTGCCTTGTTCTGACTGATATTGAGCTTCGCCATCGTCTCTTTCCACAGATGTAGTCGATTTGACTCCTGTGTTTTCCATCTGGCGAGGTCCACGTGTATAGTCGCTGTTTATGTCACTGAAAAAG